AGCTGTTGACTGTTTGCTTCGCCAATCAATTTTTTATGCTCTTTAATGTTCCTGAGTTTAAAACATTCATCTGCTAACTTCTGTACGGTCATGTCACCATCCTGATCCAGTTTGGACAGCAGCCGCCTGCGTAGGTCCGCGTCCTCCGGTAGAGTAAGTGACTTAGTGAACAACAAGGCCCTAACCTGGTTTGCCGTTGCTTGCTCTAGATCAGCCTGTTGGTACATATCATTTAGTCTGCCTGCCAAATCAAAATAGTCTTTATCTACCTTCTCCTCCAATTTAAAACATTCGAAACGTCTGTTTGACAATGACCTTGAATAGGAAAATAAGACTTACAGGTTTCTCACCGTCTTCGTGAATTCGATTTCCTCCGGCTCCTTCGGTAGGACGGATTTGACTTACATTTCGTGTTCAAGTTTCAACAGCAGAATTTCCGCCTTTTCTCCGTCAGCAAGACTTTTCCCTTCTCTCTCGAGCAAATATATTCTGAAACCCATATCGAACGTAAAACCGTCGTCAGGATCGTAGGTGAATTCCATGATCCTGCCCTCCGGCCACTTCCTTCTTTCATCACTTCCAGTCCGTCTGCAGCCCTGCGAGAAGAGTCATGAAACAGGTTTCCTGTACCAGCAATAATTTCTGCATGTGTTTTTCGCTGATAATTTTCCGTGTCCAGCTGCGTCGCCACTTGTTATATTCCCCAACAGTATGACGCCAGTTCTGTGCAGAATAGAAGACAGACTATCCGTGTGTCTGTTGTTTTGCATTTCCAAGTTCTACCTGATACATGGTATCGGTTTGTGACGTCTACCGTTCATTCGGGGCTTATTTGCCTGGGGACTTCAGTGGATGTTCTTCTTAATGCATTAGTTTCATGAAACGAATTTTATATTAGGTACGCAGAACGCCAATTTCCTCGCTTTTCCTGATGTCGTGGCATGTTTCCTAGGTTTGTATTCGGCCCAGACGGAGACGGTTAACTGCAGTGTTGTGTATATATGTGTATATATTACTTTTGGAGGGTCAGAGGCAGAGCCCTTGATGACCCAGCGATTAAGTTCTGAGTAGGGAGTGATTTAAGCAAGTAACCATGCAAGTTGGATGGTTGCGCGTTTTGTTTATCCAAATACGTATGGGAGAGGAAATGTTTACGCGGCAGATGCGGACACGGACGACCAGCCTCGGGGTAGTGCTGGCTGGTGTGGTTGATTTTTAAGAATAATGTTACCGCGTGGGATAGAATTCTCGAGCTTGAAATGCAGAAAGACGCACTAAGGTGCGCAAATAAGTGCCAGATCTTTATTTTAAAAATGAAGGACTGAAGTCCAGGCGCTATATCTATTTTGGTTGCCATGCTGAGCATTACCAAGCGGACCTAAATTCTAAATTGGTGCCTTTGAATGCGTTCGCTTGTGGGTCTAGTCGGGGCAGGCTGCTGAATGTAGCGTCTGTAATGGGTGGCGCCATTTTCTGCGTTTGCCACCTACGGTGCTGATTGTGTTACGACGCGTTGCTCCCAAGATAGTGAATAGATCAGTTTATCGATTCGGCAGCGGAGGCTCAAAGGCGTGCACGCAGGAAAGCTTGCGAATTCCAGCACACACCATTCTGGATGCACCGAACGAAGACGCGGAGTAACACGTGATGGTAGTCATTCGTGTGCGTGGGCGAATGCTGGGTTCCACTGCCCAATGAAATGTGGGAACGTTCAACTGTAGGGACGATGTTGGTTTGAAAATTAAACATGTTTGGGTGAACGGAAGGATGATTCGCTTCTTTCACCTATCCTGTGTACGTCGCCGGCTGGTGCGGACACCAAAATTCCCCTTTCAACCCCAGGAAGCCAACTAGCGTTAAAAAGAAAACATGCATTTTTCACGAAGTCCTTCCGCGTTCTACGCTATCGGCTTGCTAGCCACTGTTTCTGCAGCGGTAGCGTCCGATCTATTTGGTTAACGCCAGGTTCTCATGAAAATAAATTGTAAAGAAGTATCGTACATCGAAGGACGACTGGAATGAACGGATTCCTAGAAGCAGATCTAAAATAATCATGACGCGTTAGCTTTGTCATCCGGCACAGTTTGGCAAAAGCCCAGCGTACCACTTATATTGTTACTCTAAACAGGTAGGCAGCATCGAATTACTATCTTTCATAGGTTCTGAAGAGGACGTTTTCTGTTCTCTCGGCATAAAGGTGCATTTCAGCCGTAATAGTGACTGATCGATCCTCAACTTCTGGGGGAAACAAAATTTGCTAGGTAACACTCCATGGCAGATCGTTCTACAACAAAACACTGGATGGGCAGCATGACTGACTTATAAGTAGTTGGCCAATATTAATGAATGCCTGCACAAATGAGGAAGACTGACTAAATGCAATATACATACAATTCCAAAGGACTGCCAATATCGGTATGTT